AATCCATTGTCAAACTATTTTCAGTTTGAAAGAAAATAAACGACGATCAGCGTGGTTTCAAGATGTCACCTACTCGAAAGGTGTTGGGTCCGGATTCCGGTAGGGCAAACGTTTCATAAATGTTTAATATCTTTTAAATAAATATACTTATATAATGGATCAGTGTGTATTCTATCCAGCATCATAGTTTCCCATTACACAAGCCTAAAAGTGCTTACTTTGGGTTTAGGCTAATAAGTGTGGTGTGAGTGTTAAAAAAATCTAAGAAAACCAGTACAACGAACAGCAAGAGAAAAAACGTTGCGGAGGTTTAATTTTCCGAGAATTATCTCAACATACTATTACATTTCAAACGTTACAATAACTGTCGCCCTTATGAGATGTTGAATTGATAAACGTCAAAACTTTCGCCATTAGGAATAAATGTCATTTTCCATGCCGAAAAAGTTGTGGTTGTGACTTTGTTCAGTGCAGAATTATGAAATGGGTTTATGGAGTAAAAAGGAAAGGACATGGCTAAGAAACTGCCCTTAACGTGTATAATTATTTTGCACTAGCCCGTAACACTATAATATATTTTTAATAATTATCACGTTTTTATTATACTCATACCACTTTCGTGAAATAATCAAATATTTAAAAGTATGAAAATTGACTTCATGTCTGTTTCAAAAGGAAAATGTTCCGTTTTACAAAAATAAATGTACACAAATATATTTGTTTAAGTATATCAAAACAAACAATAATAATTCCAAACTCCTTAAAAAATATGACATATCTGACGCTAATTTTTTTTAACAAATCACTGAAGGCCTAAAATAGTAGATTTTATTATTCTGATCAGGCTTGAGTAAAGGCTGTATGATAATTAAGCCTTTGATTTTTACAAATAAACAAAATAAAATTCACAGATTTCCTGTCAGGCCGATGACAACCAATTATTTGTATTAATTTTTGCTCTAAAACACTTTTTGTGAAGTGTTAATCAGAGAAATGGGAGAAAAGATCCTATGAAAATGCGCAATTTATGGCTCTGTAAATAATTGGCAATAGCTTCTATCAATTGTAGCAAGGTAATGACATAGTAGGAGTTCTTATAATTTTTAAGATTGCAACTTTTAAAAAGTTCCTGAGTCTTTTTTCATAGATATTATAAACATTCAGCCAATCAGCATTAAATATAACTAAGTACAATATTTACACATTACTAGGGCAGTCGCTCATACAAAATTTTACCATGTCCTTTATGGTATAACATACCTATCATTAACTATATAAAGGTCAATAAAAAATGCAAGAGAACAATTGCTAGTACAAGTCGGAGCGCATCAGCAGCATTAGCAAGAGATTAATCAAACTTCCCTCCGGAACTCGCGCGTTTTCGTCACTTGCCAAGGCTGTTGAAGGAAACTTCTGTAAACTATCCCCACCACCTCTACACAATGCTCTACAAATGGTGGAGAACCGATGACCCATACTGGAAAATACAAAGCAAAACTTGTATTCTCACTCTTTGCATTTTACTCGACATTTGAATGACAGGCATACACACCGCCGACCATCCCGCACTGTGAGAACTCTATGTCTGATATCTGGTTCACACAAGACTTAGTGCACAAAGCACTCTTCTCCCTTGATATTCACAATTAAATTGGACCTGATGGAGCCTCTCCAGTTGTGCTCAAGACGTGTGCTCCTGAGTTGCCTCCGGTACCAACGCAACTTTTCCGGCTCTCCTTCTCTTCAGGCGTCGTTCCAAGCTCATGGAAGACAGCTTTAATGCATCCGCTTCGAAAAAGATGACCGCTCTCTTCCTGCCAACTGCAGGCCTATAGCTATCACCTCCTTGTTCTCCAAGATAATGGATCATAAGCCTATTAATGTCTCCACTGTAGGGGCACAGGCCTTCCCTTGGATGCAATAAGGAAACTGGGCCATGACCCACCACGCGAGCCCAGTGCGGATTGGTGTGTGCTAAAGAATGCAGATGAAACCAGGACCAACGGTTTAGCGTGTTCTCCAAAGCACAGGCTAGATCTAGATAGTTTTTGATCACCCATCCAATGACCGACTATTGTGAAAGTTGCTTAACTCTTACTTCACTCTCTCTCCTGGCCAAATGAGCTAACCGCCTGCACTATCGAGCTCCTCCAACTGGGCTAAATGTATTATCATCATCATCATCAACAGCCTATCTTAGTCCACTGCTGGACGTACCTCTCCAATTGCACGCCACTGAGATAGATCTTGGGATCTTGGGCCACTTTGTGGGTGGTAAATATATACTTCAGCTTATTTTAAAATTACATAGCATACATTTCTAATTTTCGTAAAAAAAATACAACAATCATGCTGATGATGCAACATTGTTGTAAAATTTTAACGATATTAGAAGTCTATGGCAACATTGATATACCTATATACCTACCTACTGATGATTATATTATAGTTTTGTTGCTCGGCCATCTTATATGAAGGATGTGACGTCAACTATTGCGTAAAGAAAACCTACATAATCCAGGGTGACATTTTTGATTGACATTTGGCTGATAAATGACAGCATGATTAGAGAAACCAACCAGTGTTTCAAGATTGTAACATAAACAAAGAGACTAGGATTAAACTTTACCGGAACAGTTTATTAGTTAAACTGTTAAAGAATCTTGGTCTTACAATCACACTCAAAAACAACAAAAAACTTTTAAGGAATTAGCTAAATCACACGTATTATTAAATCTTAGACCATAGCTAAAATTAAAAAATCAGACTTCTCAAGTATAGTAATAGTTAATGCTTAAAAATGACTTATTGTAATGAAATCAACTTTTTTTTTATGTTATAGGAGGCATACGAACGGATGGCTCACCTGATGGTAAGTGGTCACCGTCGCCCATGGACACTTGCAACACCAGGAGTATCACAAATGCGATGCCGGCCTTTAAGGAAGGAGTACCCTCATTTTTTGAAGGTTTTTGGGTCGTATTGGTCCGGAAACACTGCTGGCGACAATATATTCCACAGTTTTGTCGTAAGTGGTAAAAAATTTCGACAAAAACGCACGGTTGTGGATAGCGCAACGCACGGTAGCCACGCATCAAGATGATGGGGATGAAATTTTTGTCGCGATGTACGATGGCGAAATGCAGCAGCTGGAATTAATCCGAACAATTCTTCAGAACTTGTAAGGTATGCTTACTAGATTAAATTACTCACACCATAAGCTTGCATATTGAATGCGACAAAACTTCTTAACAATAATAATTACTTAAATTTCATTCAAAGTGTAGATAAATTCCAAATATTTTACAAATAGGGCTGATGTCGGGGTAACTTAATCGAATTTCTTCTCCGTCAGTTACATTATCCAAAAACAAACAATCGACACTTATATTTTCTTTTGTCAATCGCATCAAAGTATGAGAGTGGGTGCTGGAGACGTCATTTCAAAGTGCTAAGACGTGACGTCATGGGACATTTCAAATCAATATATTTCTGTAATGTTTTTTTATATGAATAAAGAAAAACTACATGTCCAATACTTTTAGATAATCTACCCGATAAGCTTAGAAAAAAAGTCGTCATTCCTATTGCAAGTATGATAACAAAGTGAAATAAGCCGTTCGACAAAATCAGCCCAACTACGAACGTAAATTTATCAGCTGAAATGCCGAAATGGTTTTAACATTCGCCCTAAGTGCGGACAGAGCACATAACCGGATATCATAAAGTCATTTCGAGTCGTCCATAAAACTTCAGACGTTCCAAGCTAGAACTTCGAAACTTTCCTCTTACAAAGATAATCTATTTCATGTTTCTGTTATGGGCCGAGATCGTTTTGTCGGCAGCTATGAGCGTTTTAAAATGAATTATAAGTTTGAAAGATCGTGAAGCTTCAGTTTTCCAAAGCTCGATATTTGTTATGGTATATTATTGTGTTTTAGGAAGAAGAAGTATTGTGTTTAGGAGTGTTTTAGGAAGCAATACATTACTTTAGCTCAGTACAGAGACTGACTTAATTTTTATTGACTACAAATTTCAATAAAATTTATAAATAACACTTAGTGTAAAAATCTATTGTTAGCTATATGTACGCACAGATTTACCCAACTGACTTTCTCACGGTAGGATAGATATGATATTTAGCTCCGAATCAAAAGGATTATACAATTTTGACCATATTTACGTTATCGGCACTTAATTGATTCCAGAAAATTATATGAAAGTGTGTTAGCTCTTCAGTATTTTCCCGAATACCATCCATTATTTAGCTTGCTGGTGTAGGACAAATGTAGTCATCTGGGCCGAAAATAGTGCAGCTGGACTCATAGATTAAATTAAAGAAAAAGCAAATCTTCTGTGAATTCCTTTCGCTTTTTATCCAGCAAAAAGGTTAAAGATGTACCCAGATAAAATTGCATTAAGAAGAGTCAACAAGAGCTTTCATATTAATCGGTTCAGGGATGATAGGCTGAGAGTGGCCTTTAACAACCTAGCGATGACTTTCATAATCTCCTACATGAGTTGACGGAAGCACAATGCGTTAAATTAAAAAAAAAGATAAAAGAATAACCGTTATCAAGTTGATAAAAGTTATTTAAGGATCACACAAAAGATGATTGGTTTTATATTTATCTTTTTCGAGTGTGTATGCTGTTGGTCGCAGATGACCTTTACAGCGTCACCGGGTTTGGGGACGGCGAGATCCTCAAGCCGAGAATTGGCGAGTGCCTCTATAGGTATTTAAGGTGGATGGGATCCTCCCACGGGGGGAGTCTCCTCTCCGTCTGGAGCCTCTAGACCACTCGAACCTGAGGGGGGGGGGGGGGGGGGCATCGGTCCCATGAACGGTATCCAGTCGCATTAGATGTGCGCATCCTAACCTGGCATCGTTATCGCGCATCGTTATTCTAATTCTAACAAACACCCAGCCCTACTTTTTAACGCAGCCCGTATTCCATATTATTTTTAATTCGTTGGTTAAATCATAAAAAAAAACATACCTGTTATCATCTGGCTGGCAGTGGTCAGTAGTTTGACGTCATTCTCGGCGTCTTGGGTCTCCAATCGGACAGTCACGTTCAGTGGGTCGAGTGTTCCGTTTCCAGCTCTGCCATGAAGTGTGACAAGGACAGCTGTCGTCTTCCCCGGGACTGCTACCTCAGGCGCCACTACTGAGAACCCTCTGCGAACAAAAATTATATTTAAGTCTATAGCAGCAGAGTTGGATATGTAACATAATTTCGGTAATCGTTTGTTTAGAATACCTTACACACTACTAGTACACTACACTACACTACAAGTCTTCATAATTCGCCCTCCGTGGCCGAGTGGTTTGTATGCCGGGTTTCAAAGTGTCACCTTCTTGAGAGGTCACGGGTTCGAATCCCGGTGGGGGCAGATGTTTGTGTGATGAATATGAGCATTTGTACTTCAGGCATGGCTGTTTAATATGTATTTCTATATATATGCTTCAGTATATGTATTCTGTCTGTTTCTCTAGTCTCCCGTAACACAAGCCTACAGTGATTACTTTGGGGCTGGACTAATTGGTGTGGGTGTTGGAAATATTTATTCATTTGTAATGTAAAAAAAACTTTGGAAAAAAATAAAAGAAAATTACTTTAAATTCATCGTCTCGTCTTTATGATTTATTTCATCGTCAGTTTCTAACATTTTCCAGCCCTCGCAGCAAAGATAACAACGCATCTACATTTATGGGTATCGTACACAAAAGGCTACAATGGTACTGTAATACTAAGCCGCCGCTATAATCTGTAAGTGGCCTATATATCATGAACCACACCATAACAAGTGGATCACAGAATCTTATTTAAGCTCTTAGAAATGTTTGATTTCAAATAATCCTTTTACGATATATGACGTTTTTTCTTAATCTTAACAATCGCTGCAGTTCTAATGTCGACGTTACAAAAAAGGACGGAATTTTTTTATGCCTATTTGGTCTTTGTCGGTTTTTTCTATAACAACCCTTTTGCTTCTACCCAGTATAGAAGATGTATCGAACTAAAAACATCAAGCACTCTTTACTTCTATAATACAGTTCCAGCAAAAACAAAACACGGAAGATCTAAATTTCAGGAACAATTTTTCAACGCTATCATTATTGGCTCTGGCCCGAATGGAGCACAGACTCACTAGAAGACGTTATAAGGCTCTCAGAAATTCCTTTTGAGTATAACGATGCGACGGTGACCTGCATTGGCGACAATTTATCCGCATTATTTTATACTGAAACCGTTAGAGATTACTAAGAGAGAAAAGAGAGAGATTACTAGTGTTATAAAATAAAGAAAAGAAATCATGCTACATTCAAAATAAGATATAAAAAATATCGTTCACAGTAAAAATAGTAATGAAACGAAACAAAACCTACAAATATTATCAATAAATTTCCATGTGATTCGAAAAAAAATATAACATTACTTTTAAAAAAAAACAAGACAAAAAGAGTCGGATAAAAGTCTAAAGAAAGTTATTATACAGAGAAAAATAGAATTCATACTCGCTTTTACTGTTTATATCTAGGCAATTATTTTTTCTGAACAAATAATTTGAGGTCAAGTTTTCTTTAGGTTTTCTGTTGTTATTAGAATACAATAGATTATTAAAATATGAAAGCTATCAGATGGTTCAATCTGAAAAAAGTAGCACAGATTTCTAAAGCACATTTTGTTCATTTGCTTCCATTTGCGCCTCGTGATTTATTATTTTAACATTGTTCTTACTATTTAATAGTTTAAAGCCTCTCGATATCTTTTAAAACTTGTCCAAGAAGATAATGCTCGAAATAAAAAAAAAAAGGGTTCGATATAATTAATCTAGAAGTCAGTTTTCAACGATTCATGTTACATGCTTTGGGAAGACAATATTTTGATGCCAATAAGTAAATATCGGTGGTCCAATAAGTTTATTATAAATTTTAAATATTTTTTTGCATTTTATGATAATACCTTTTCAACCTGTAATAGTATATATATAGATAATATTTGATTTCAACCTGTTTAATCGGAGTAGAATATTAATGAACTATTTGAATCGAAACCTACTAATGAAATAATAAAGACGAGACAACTACGGCAGTACATGTTAGTTATAATATCAATAATAAATTAAATGAGGTCAAGAACAAAAAACATGTCTTAAAAACAGTAGACAATTAACACCTAAGGCAGTAAGACGGTACTTACTGCCTTACTGTCGACATTAAGTAGTACATAATCTGTGTCCGAAATCCTACAATAAAAATTTACAGCGAAACATGAAGCATAAACGAATAATGCCTAATAGAATAAAGCCCCCGCGGAGCACCGAAGATAGAAGGGAGATGCTACGAGTGTTTATTGAAAAAATCCCTAAGCAAAGAGCTGCAGTGCGACAAATCACGGACACGTTCGAGTTATTGTATTCTGCCGCACGCGCACTGAATGCCGAATATTGTTTGACGGTGTCCGCCGCGCTTGTTCCTGTTTGAGCATGTTTCTGGGGTGGCTTAGGGCTGCCAACAAATACTCATGCCATATCTACTATATAAAAATAAGTCGGGTTTTCCTTCCTGACGCTATAACTCCAGAACGCACGAACCGATTTCCACGGTTTTGCATTCGTTGGAAAGGTCTCGGGCTCCGTGAGGTTTATAGCAAAGAAAATTCAGGAAAATTTAAAAAAAAAAGTTCTTTTAATCACCAAACGAAATGTTACATAAAACGAAGCCATCTGGTGGCGAAACGGAGTTCGCCGGGTTTGCTAGTCTACTATATAAAAATAAGTCGGGTTTTCCTTCCTGACGCTATAACTCCAGAACGCACGAACCGATTTCCACGGTTTTGCTTTCGTTGGAAAGGTCTCGGGCTTCGTGAGGTTTATAGCAAGGAAAGTTTAGGAAAAATTAAAAAAAAAAAACTTCTTTTAATCACCAAACGAAATGTTACATAAAACGAAGCCATCTGGTGGCGAAACGGAGTTCGCCGGGTTTGCTAGTTACTAGTATAAATCTATAGAAAATTTTACTAGAAAAAAAAACACGTGGACCAGGCAGCAGATGGTACTTCCGCACCCTTCGCTATCCGGGCGGATGCACTGAACATTATGCTACCGGGGCCCTAATTGGCCGTGTCCAATTTTCTCGAGCATTTCTTAGGCTGCAAGGAGCACTATCTCTCCGCATTGTATCTCAAATAAATACTTTTACAAGTATTTAACATTTTGGAAAAATAAATACCAATTATAGTTATAACATCTAGCAGTTAATTGCTTAAAAAAAACATATTAAAAGTAATTCATGAAAATAAAAATATATTTATATCTTATGTTTTCACGCATACCACTCATTAAATACAAAACTGTTTCAATGGGTTTAAAATGTGTTTTAATGCTTACATATAGAAATATCTCCAAGTTTCGTTAAGTAATCAAAAAGGGAACTCAGACCGGTTGAAACAGTGTTTTATCAAATGAAAATATGTATAATTCAGCATCTTAACCGATAACTTTGACTATTAAGATGTTTGGAGACTTCTTCTAATGTTTACAGTAAGATATTGAAAGAGAAGAGAAGTAATTCAATTTTTTTATGTTAGTGTTAGTAAGATCGTAACTTCCTCATTCTGCAAGACTGTTATGTCAGTGTTAGCGAGAGATTCAAGGCTCCAGAGCTCTACGGGATATGGAATTAGGTACAGCTTCACAAGACCCACACTCTTGCTGCATCAGCTATTTTTATTTGTATATAAATTTTAAGGCCTTGGAGTTTCCCATATTGGCTATATGGGAAACCTATACCTATATATATACCTTTATTTTTGTAGATCATAAGTGAGCCAAGAAAAACGGAAAAAACACATGCATTCTTACTTTAAATCTACACAGCCCTACGGTATGCATTTAGGCTGTGTCCGCTTTAACACAGTTTAGTTCGTTTTAACTGCCAAAGTGATAATTTTTATTATTTTTAAAGCATGTAACTGCTTGATGTTTAAATCTAAAGAAAATATTTTCGAGTCCCGTCTGCTGCCTGGTCCGCGTGGAATTTTTTCTAGTTATATTTTCTTTAGTGCCAAAGTGATCTTCATTTAAATTTCCATTTTAAGGCAAACGGTTTGTTGCTAACTAGCTTCACTGTCAAAGGGCGACTGCGCAGAGTTCATTTGCAAAGTGGTAACAAGTTTGGTGTGGCCAAGCTTATTTGTCGATTAACGACCGCTCTTAATTGCACAAGTTTTGTCTGTGCTAACAAATGGTTGATAAAAATAAAGTGAACCCTAATGGAATACCTGGCTACCTGGATTGTGAAACATCAAAACTTATTTTTGAAACAAAAAATAAAGAAAGAAACTTGGTTTCTTAAAAAAAGAAACACATCTTTAAAATTATGCTGCATCGTTCGGACCGAATCGAAATCGAGATGCCTCTAAGAGATAATTAGATATTAAGGATTTCTAATTGGTCAGCATTATTTTATGCGAGCTCTTAAATTGTGCCTCCCTATGATAAATGATTTTTATGGATATTTTACGTTCACAGTAATTGCTTTAGAAATTATTCTGTAAAATTTTCACGCGCGGATTTATATCGGAACCGCGTGGATTCACAGCAAAGCTGTTCTAATCATGTTCCACCTTCAAATGTTACGCTTCAATGACATGCAATGATCAACGCTTCAATAGGGAATATGCATGTAATTCAAATCAGCCTCATTTCATTTTTATATAAAATCTATTACTTTTAAGTTGTTCCTCCATAAAAATTTGTTAATCAAATTTCTTTTCGAGCAAGATATTAATGATATAAAAGTGTAAAAGCTTGTGGGGAATTCAAATATTTTAAAGAGCGGTTGTGACATTATGTTATGTTCACAGGATATGTCAATGTCAACGAGATTAAAGTGCGTATACGCGTAGATGTCAAAGCCGCGTTTCACCTAAACACCGAATGCTACTTTTCACTATGACATTGAATTTTTTACCAAAAATGTATGAAACATAATGTCTATTTGATTGACGTAGGTTCCAACTTCCATCCGCAGTGAAGTTATGGAACGCAAAATGTCAGTATCTTGTAAGCTCATTGATCTTGTTTGTAGGTTAAGATATATCGTGATATCACATCCCAGCGTTCGAAAATCAGGGCTTGTTTACCGGTTAATTTTCAAACCTAAATCAGTAT